CCTTGAACACTTCCGGGGATGGGCCATCCACAACCTCTCTGAGCAACCTGTTCCAGTGCCTCACCACCCTCACAGGGAAGAATTTCTTCCTAACATCTAATCTAAACCTACCCTCTTTCAGCTTAAACCCATTAACCCTTATCCTATCACTACATGCCCTTGTAAACAGTCCCTCTCCAGATTTCTTGTAGGCCCCCTTCAGGTACTGGAAGGCTGCTGTAAGGTCTCCTCAGAGCCTTCTCTTCTCCAGGCTGAACAACCCCAGCTCCCTCAGCTTGTCTTCATAGGAGAGGTGCTCCAGCCCTCTGACCATCCTTGTGGCCCTTCTCTGGATTCGCTCCAACAGCTTAATGTCTCTCTTGTACTGCAGACCCTAGAGTTGGAGCAGTACTCTAGGTGGGATCTCACCAGAGCAGAGGTGCAGAATCACCTCCCTCGACCTGCTGGTCATGCTTCTTTTGATGCAGCCGAAGACACGGTTGGCTTTCTGGGCTGCAAGCGCACATTGCTGGGTCATGTTGAGCTTTTCATCAGTCAACACCCTCAAGTCCTTCTCAGCTCTGCTCTCAATTCATTCTCCATCTAGCCTGTATTTGTGCTTGGGATTGCTCCGACCTCACATTTGGCTTTGTTGAACTTCATGCAGTTCGCATGGGCCCACCTCTCAAGCCTGTCAAGGTCCCTATGGATGACATCCCTTCCCTCCAGCATCTCAAATGCACCACACAGCTTGGTGTCATTGGCAGACTCTCTTGAAATTTTCCAAGCATATCTGTGACTCTTGAGTTGCCCATAATTCTAGCTCTGTGTTAGGATGGGGAAGAAAACAGTCAAATACAGAAAAAAGTATTCTAAAGTTTTCCAGTTGTTCTCTATATTACTGAATTTTTCCATCCTAACAGCCTTAGCTCTCATCCAATGTTCCTGTTCCCTATTAGATGAAACCTCTTCATTCTGTCTTTTCCTAACCTTGTTGGTAGATTCTCTGCACAGGTAGGTAGGTCTGATGTTTTTTCTACTCTCTCTTTTCCTTCCATTTCCTTGACACGTCTTGTTTCTGTAGCCTTCAAAGCAAGCTATTTTTTTTTGTCACCATGTCTGAGCTCAGCAGATGACAGGATAACAGAGCAAATAATTTTTGTGCTGGCTGTTTTAGCATGATAGCCTAGGCCATCGGCTTGACCAGAAAAAGCCCATAGCTGTAAAGCGCTGGAGAATGCTTGCTCAGCAAACAGACTTTAGAAAATTGGAGATATTCCTGGACATTTTACTGCAGACCTATGAAACATAACTTCCCTAGGACTTGTAACTTGGTATGATTTGGAAGAGACGGCAAAGTGTCACCTCTTTAACAAAGCTTGGAGTCCAAGCAAGGATCAAGTCGCTTCTCCAAAACATGTGGACAAACATGAGCTTCTTAAATGAAATAACTCTTTTTTCATGTGGGTGTGTGAAAGTGAGAATATACAACCCATATGACAGCCACCCAGAAAGAATTCATGAAGGGTTTCTTATCCACGTCAGCAGTAATCAACTAGAAAAGAAAATTATATGATAGGAAGAATAGAACAGCCAACTATATTTCAAAAATAAAAGTGGAAACAAATCAGAAGAAACAAGAGAAAATAAGTACAAACCAGAGAAGCAGCAAGGGTAGAAACGTGTTTTTAACTACCTAATACAGAGTTTTGGGATAGGAATTCTGTGACTGGGGACAGGGCTGGTTTTTCCATCTTCCAGGAAGAAGAAGTGATGATCATGGAAGTAGTAAAGGAGCCAACAACCTCACAATGGAAAAGCGTGAAGCTGAACATGTGGCTTCCCAGACTTTGGGGAGAGAAATTAATTTTCTCTATTGCTTTGAAAACACTGAACCACTAAGCTATACAAACAGAGCTGCAGCCAGCAAAACTGTCAGGCTAGACTTGGTGACTGCTGACTTCTCATGGCAGCTGAAAAGTCTCTCTCTAGCCTTGTTCTTGAAGAAATTGTTCTAGAAAACAAATTAGAAATAATCAACCTAATATAGCATTTAATAAGAAATATTTAGTAAATAACATTTTACTCCAAATCATTGATTTAAAAAAAAAAAACTATAAGCAACAAAAACACAGGCTTATAGAAAGGAGTTAGATAATCTTTATGATATACAGAGCTAATCAGCTTGACTACTATTACTCAGTACAAAGAAGAGGTAGACTGAGAAATAACCTCTCTTTAGTAAAGCCTCAGGTTTAACTTTGAGGCTAAAGGGAAGTAAAGATAGTGTATTTACCAACATCACAACTGTGGCTATTAATCTTTTTGGCTCAAACATTGCTTTCAATTGCTTCAGTGGCCCCATCAGGAAACAGGTACTAATAGGAGAGAAAAACAAAACAAATGGTAAATCACTTTCAAATAAATCTTTGCAAAAGATAATAGGTCATTAACCAGTTTTTCAACAGTTAAATGAGTACAAAGGCTTTAAAAAAAAACTATTCTGTGTTTTGCAACAGAGACCTGCTAGAATGAAAGGTGAAATACTCCACAAATTTAGTCCTGGAAACAGCTTACATATTGAGGCACCCTTGGTCATGAAATTCTTTCCAAAACATTACCACCTGTAGCAGACGGTTGACAAGTTGAAGTCTAGTGAATTTCACGTTGAGAGCATTCTAAGGACTTGCTAAAAGAATGCAAAAAATACAAAGACCAAACTTCTGTAGAAAGTTTCTGTTTAACAATAAACTTCTTACCCAGCCAACATGCCAGTACCTACAATCAAGATTACAGGGAAGCTCTCTTTGCCCAAACTCAGTAAGCAAAAAGAGAAGGAAAAAGTTCAGTAGTTAGTTTTCATTCTCCCTTCAAATTAACTACAGAGTAGAATAAAGCAGGAGGATTTAATACAATCAGCAATGCTATGCTGTACCTAAGCAAAGAAATGTGATGCGAACCAAGAATTCACAATTGTAGGAGTAATTATCTGGCTTCAAGTATTCTGAGATGAGTCTCTTCCTTCCCTGTAAACTGAAGCCATTCAGCTTTGTAGAAAATATTTAGTGAGAATGCCTGTAACCTTGTGGTGGTCTGAATGTTTTACTACAGAGCAGGAAACCTAATTTAACTCCTTTTCTAATTAATATTTATTTATATGAAATGCAACAGTCAGTAGCAGGGAAGAGCTTGGTAGAGCTCCCTCCTGAAACCAGTCATAGGTCTGGTGAAGCATGCATCTTCTAAGATAGAAGAAATATGGGAGTCCACACGCCAAGCAGTAACCAAACCCATGATCTCCCATACCCAGATGTTCCCCTACCAGCAACTTTGTGCATATATCCCCTTCTCTTCATTATTTTTTCTTCTATATGTTGAATGGACAGACCTCAAAAGTTCATATGAAATGGAAAACCAAGTTTTCTCAGTTCAATAGGAAAAAAGGTTTTAAATTCGTTACAATCCAAACTAACTTATTCTCAGTAATTTTTAATCTTGGCTGCTAGGCCATAAAATTAAATTAAGACAAAAAAAAATCTGAACTAGAATAAAAAAATTTGTTAGCTAGTGGAAGGATAGGGATGATGAAAACTTGATGGTAAAAATGAGGGAGATTCAGGCCACAGAAAATAGGCCAAAAAAATACAGAAAACAAAATGCACTGATGCTAGCCTGATTAGCATTGAAGGACAGACATCAAAAGAAATTCTCTAGAGATACAAGAGAGAATCCATACGGAGCAGAAAGGCTGGAAAAAATTCTAGAGGTCCTCCACTTACACAGGATATTTCCTATATAGGATGCATTCTGTAGGAGATATTTGGTTAGTCTCTGATGATGAACATAAGTATTGTTTTCATGTTTATCGCTAGGAAATTACAGCAGAAACAGGCTAGACAAGACTATTTAGTAAGAGTGGTAACTACATTTGTTTTAAATACAGACTCACGAACAAACCTGAAAAACTTCAAATCTCCTTCCCAATTTGGGACTTTATTGTCATTTCCTACTGTTTGTGGAACATCGTTGCCTGTTGTTTGTATCTAAAAGGACTACTGACAGGGAAGGGACCTTTTACTTCTAATTTTGGTTGGAGTCCAGACTAAAGTTTTTCAGGATTCTCCTAAAAGAAATACCAGTCTGTAAAAGCCTTCCTATTAGTTCACTGACAATTAGACTTGACTAGTACTACGTTTCTAAAATGCTAATTTAAAACAATGAAAACACACCCAAAATACTAAGTTAAAAAAACCCCACACAACAAAACAAAACATCAACAACAAACAATAAAGACTAAAGTAAGGAGAGAAAGGGAAACAGGATGATCTCTCTGTTAAAAGCAAAAGGTTCCTTCCAGTAACAAAGTACGCACACATTGGGCAAACTACCAGTTTGCCTCTGAAATGGAGGCACCTCTGTACCTGGCAGAAGGACTTAACTGTAAAAAGTACAAAATAACCAACAATTTGTTATTCATACTTCAGATAGCAGTTGTGATGCATCTACAAAACAATCACGTAAGACATCACAATGGGGCAATAACAAGTGAGTAACTGATAATCACTAATTATGATAATCTTAAAACTGCAAGACAAGCAAGATTTTATGTTATTAGCACTTCAGTACAAAACCAGTGCTGTTTATACACAACACAGACATTGTTTTAGAGTAAAAGCAAATGGAAATGTAGATGAAAAGGAGGGTACTTTAATAATAATAATTAAGAAATCATACCTGGCTAATGCAGCAATATTTCCCAGGGTGTAAAACACTGCAAAAAGTTTGATCCCCTTTGGGAGCCATAGCAATGCTGTTCCCTATAAAAGATAGGGTTTTTGTATGTTTGTAATTAGTTAATTCAATTTATTACGATTTTATAGTCTATAAATATATTTGCAGACTATGAAGAGTGTCATTCTAACATATATCAGCAGAGTATACTGTTCTCAGATGTGTAGTATTCAATATTCAGCATACTTCTATTGCCACCTACTGGCAAAACAATGTATTGATTTACTATATTTCACAATATTTTTTTCAACTAAGCAATGTTTGTTTATATTGTTTATAACATTTGCACTGTTTATATTCTATTTATGACACTTTCAGTTTTGTTACAATCCCCTCTCATACGTAATACCAGCAAGTGTTCTGGTCTACCTCTGGGTCTCAGGGAGTCTTAAATCACAAGTTTTGATAAAGAATCAGAAGCTTCCACCTGCAGGAGAATCCAGTGAGTGGCTATCTCTAAGTTCCTCAAACAATCAACAGGCTGCTCCTCCACAGCTGCTTCTTCCTGCCATTACATAAGTCTCCTTGGTTTAAATACTTTTCACACTAAATGAAAGAGCAGCAGCAGTCATTTAAATAATGGCAAAACAGAAACTAATGCACACAGAACAAGTTCCTCCATCCTACTACCATAATGCATTATGAGTCAAGGCAATCTGCCTGAGAGTCTCCTCAAAAACTGCAAATGTCATCCACACACATTAGCCGAAGGCTGCTGACTAGCTTACATCAAAAGTCATGCTCTGTGAAGAACCAACATCCTACTTCATCATGAAAAAAAAACCCAGAAAGAAAAACTGCAAAACCAGCAGTCTGGATACTTCCTCAATGTTATTTCACCTGCTTCTGAGACTTTTCATGCAGATGGAAGAACCGCTTTGTACTGCAAGTTACCTGTGTCAGACCCAATCAATTAATGGTTTTCAACTTTTAAGTGCAGGCTTGAGCCTCCTGCCAACACAAGTTCAAGAATGAACAAATGACTTGCTGACTCTAAGATCAATAGAAGCGTAGCAGGTTTTTCAAGTGTCAACATGCTACCACAGTCATCACCTACTGATCTGTGAGTGTAACAGGTTACACTTGCGGTTTCTTCAGCCTTAAAAAACCTTTCAAGCTTCCCTCTCCTTTTCCCCTTTTATTGGAAAGAATAAAAACAAGATAGGTATACACTGAACAGCAGCAAAAGCTCTTTCGTATTACATCACTCACAAATCTAAATTAAAAATACAGCATATTTTGTCAGTGTTCAGACCTTTTAGTGAGAAATGTTATTATGCTACAATAAAAATGCTCTCTGCTGTAAATGGCAGAAAGATGGTCAAAATCATAACTTACAAAACAGCTGCCCCTACCTGTCAATTATACATTTAATGTCCAGTTAAATTTATGGATACAACATTTAAGATACAGGATAAAGCAAACACAGAATCACATATAAAGCATAAGTATGAATGAGGTTCTACTGTAGAACATTAATAAAGTACAGGAGAAAAAAAACTACTTACAAGAATAGAACACACAATGCCAGCAACAAAACATATGGTAAACCATCTGAGTCGGGTACCAAAGCTGAGTGTTGAGGCATCGAGGACCTTAATTTTTTTTTTGGGGGGGGGGGGGGGGGGGGGGAAGAGGGTATTACAAAACCAGTTTTGAACAATTTAAAGGCATTTTTTCTTTACTACTGAAGTTCTTAATTTCAAACAAAATTTATTAGCCAGAAACAATTATTTTACCTTGCTTAACAGTTGCTTGCATATTAATTATTTCAATTTAGGAAATTATATTAGCAATTTGGAAATGTATTTCTAAAACAAATAAAAAAGACAAAACCTGTGAAGGTATATCCTGGCACTCAAGCAATACTGCTCCACTTTCAAACAGACTTTCTTTTCACCACACAATTATAATTGAAAATTCTCACGATTGTACCAAAGCAGAAGAATGAATGAACCTTCTAGCAATTTGCAAATATATCTATTTGTGCAGCACTGTATGTTCGTATAGACATTACCTTTTCCTGTTACTAGACAGAACCCATTAGAGAATCACAGAATGTTAGAGGTTGGAAGGAACGTCAGGAGATCATCTTAGTCCAACCCCCCTGTTAAAGCAGGATCACCTAGAACAGATCGCACAGGATGGCATCCAGGCAGGTTTTGAATATCTCCAGAGAAGAAGACTCCGCAACCTCTCTGGGCAGCCTGTTCCAGTGCTCTGTCACCCTCAGAGTAAAGAAGTTTTTTCTCATATTCACATGGAGCTTCCTGTGTTCCAGTTTGTGCCCATCACCCCTTGTCCTGTCACTGGGCACCGCTGAAAAGAGTCTGGCCCCATCCTCTTGACACCCGACCTTTAGATATTTATAAGGGTTGATGAGATCCCCTCTCAGTCTTCTCTTCTCCAGGCTAAACAGACCCAGCTCTCTCAGCCCTTCCTCACACGAGGGATGCTCCAGTTTTTTAATTATCCTCGTAGCCTCCGCTGGACTCTTTCCAGTAGTTCCCGATCTTTCTCGAACTGGGGTGCCCAGAACTGGACACAGTACTGCAGATGTGGCCTCACCAGGGCAGAGCAGAGGGGGAGGATAACCTCCCTCCACCTGCTGGCCACACTCTTCTTAATGCACCCCAGGATACCATTGGCCTTCCCAGCCACAAGGGCACATTGTACACATTAGTACAAGTACCCATTGCAAGCATTATGATTCCCCTTCAATTACTGTTCCTTACAGGTGAAGGTGTAGGCAGATTAACACAGCTTGTCTCATCAGACAGCTAACTTGCTGAAAGCAGTAATTTTAGTTCCTGCTTCTCCAGTGCGACTACAGAACCTGCAAGACCCTTTAATGAGCTGAGCTAGGTGACACAACTCACGAAGCGGGAAAAGAACTAGCGTTCTTTCTGTTCTGATGACTTAGTCCTATGCTAGACTGAATAATGAGCCAAACCAGCTCAGCAAGATGTCAGAAAAGCGGCGGGGCTAACACAGGGAGAGGCAGATCCACACAGCTGGCAGGAGAACAGCCCCTTTCAGCAGAAGTGACTTGCTAGATATGCTCAGCTCATCTTCTCCACCCATGCTGTAAGAACAATGTATTTCAGCTTACTCCACATCACAAATTAAATACTGGTCTATTAAGTGAAGTGTGGTTTCAGCTTATGTAAGATGACTATAAAAAGCTAACTTTCCTATTTGTTCACATGACACAAGCAAACTTGTCTTCTTGTTATCTAGTCTACAGATATTTTCAATCAAGTATTATTAACCAAATATATAAGTTAGAGCTTCCCCAACCAATGAGTTTGATATTTCTGCTACTTTTCTGAGAACTTTCTCTTTCAGGTAGTGATAAGTGAATGAATGAAATTTGGTTACTGCCTATAATAATTTCACATCTGTACAAATGAAGAATCCATACCTAGTTTAATAGAAAAGGGCCACATACAAGTACATATTTATGTGCTGCGATCTGAACAGCATGTGCAGCATCTGAACGTATGTCAACAAAGAATAGCTTGGACTACTTTCTACTTATAAAAAAATTACTAACCTTATTTAATCAAATTAAGTACTTTGCATATTTACTTCAGAAGGGGGATCAGAATACTAAAAATAATCTTTTATATTTGCATACTGTCTGAGCAGATGCAGAGTTGGGATAGAATATTGTTCTGAATTTTCTTTCCCGTTCCCTGTGTTCAGCAGTTAAGACAGAGCTCCCCAAAGGTCAGAAGATCCAGCTTACCTTGTTAGGTCCAACTCTTTATCCTTACGTATGCATTAAAGACAGACAAAAACAGTAACTGAAAGATGGCTTAGTATTTGAAGTCATGTTTGACAGTCATATTCCTGAATGCCTATGTATGTAAGAAGTGCAGGAAGAGCTGGTAAAACATAACTGAAGATACCCATTTGAATCATGCTTTTAGTCACACCTATTCATGCAACTAGTCACATCGACACAGGGGGAGGAAAAAAAAAAAAAAAAAAGAGAAAAGAGTAAAAATCTTTTCCATCCCTGCTCAGAAATGAAGTGTGGATGGGCCAAGACTACTGGTACACCCAACGTATGCATTTCAGATTGCCTAGAAAACAGGGAAAAGATGAAGTTAAATTGTTTCTTCAAGTGTATCAGGCATATTGCTGCCACTTACTAATATTCTATTTCTAGTCTTGATATCTGACAGTGTTCCTGAAACAACGACCAGGAAATTTCATTTTTCCTATGAATCTGAAAATATCTTTACCTTCATTTAAATCCCTAATAGTTATTAGGTGGAAAAAAATAACACCACCATAAATAAGTGAACCACACAAAGGCTTGGAACAAAAAATGCCACAAGATTTAAAATATGAATTTAAAACTAGTTTAATACATTTTATGGATTTAATTCTTAAAAAATTAGATTGAATTAGATTAACAATACATGCACATGAACTACAGGAAGATAAATTGTGGCACGAGGACTGCCAGAGCACAACAACATAGTATTCGCTGTAGTAATAAAACTAAATAAATTAATGGGCATTAAAATGAAGGATGATCCTCCAACAACTCCTGATGGCATCACCATTTATGTAATCAATTTGAACCTAGTTAACGCAACGTTTGAAATCCTGAAACTGGAGATCTGGTAATGTATTTTCCTTAGTCCCTGACACTCAAAACTTTTTAGGTTTCATGGAAGCAATGGAACGGGTTACCTTTCCAAGATGTCTGTGTCACCCCTGTAGCGAAGCACCTTGCTGCAGAGGTTGAATAACAGGTACACAGGTCAACTACTTAAACCAGAGACTCCAGCTGGTGCTAAAATGCCAGGCTACAATTTGTAAAAGTTGAGGACCTGACACAGTACCTGCCTGTTCTGCTGCATGTGCTGTAGGAGCAGTAATTTCTCAAAGAGGGGCTGTGAGACACCCCAAAGTAACAGCTTAGTTTCTTACACCTACACTCGGAGACCATGAACCAGAACCCTAAGAAAAAGTTTGTAAGTCTAAGCTGCCTATGCAACAAAAGCAGGAAACGATGTAAGGATGACTGGAACTTTTTTTTAATTGTCTGACATTAGCCATACAGCTAATCCTAGATTTCAGATAAAAAGAGGTGGCATTACACTCTACTTAGAAGATTGAGGCAAATTCCAAATTTTTGGGGAAAGATTCATATGGAGAACTGTGCCATCGCAGTGGCAAGGGAGTTTCTGTAAAACATACCCTTCTGCCTATACTGCTTATCAGCTTGTTTCTAAGCAATAAAAAGAAAAAAAGAAACAAATCAACAAACAGAAACCCTTAGTTTTCTATAGCTAAGCTTTAATGTCAAACTCCTGGGCAAGAAGCAAAGATTTTTCTTCACAGGATATTCCAAGAAAATATTACATCGAAGAAATGACGAAAACATCCAGAAATCAAGAGGAAACCCTAAGTGGAAACTAGAATCCGGAAGGCAGACTTCCTGGAACATAAGGAACAGTCTCCCAACAGTCTAACACGCAAGTTGCAAACAACAGATAACAGTGTCTTTACTGAACAGCTTGCTACAGACACCCAATAAACCATATGAATGATAATCTGCAAGGCTGCCTTTGTTCCAAACTATTTCTTGTGATTTTGAACATCTACCTAGGCTCCCTCCATACATTAATTATCTTACAGAAGTTTTCTATGTGGGCAAACAAAAAAATAGAAGCACTTTCTTTTACCAGTTTTAAGAAAGATTCTAGGAGTTAACAATTACATCTTTTCGTGATAGTAAATGTAAGAATATGCAAGTAATGGAGAAAACTCAATTTCAAAGAAATGTTGAGTACATTTGCAGAATTGAGTTGATAAGCAATATTTAAAAAAAAATTGTAGAGA